AACACGACTAGTAACAGTTGAATTTTTCTTTACTTCCCGTATGATTCTGCGGTCTTCGATTGGATTTGTCTTTTTCTTCCGTCCACGTCCTGTCTTATTCGCTACTGTGCCAAACTCCTGGAATTTTTTCCATATCTTTCGGACTGCGCCTTTACTTACATTATACTTGCGACCGATTTTTCTATTAGAAAGCCCCTTCTGACAATCCTGAATTATCAGTTTTCGAATTTGCAAACAAATTTGCTTGGTTTCCATGTTCACTGATGAAGAATTCTTATACTCTATTTAGCAATATTATTAACTGACAAACCTGCTTTATTCATTTGTTTATATATCCTTCATTGTTATTATATATTTATGTATCTTTCATCAACAGCGCCAGTTGTTATTATTTTCATAAACAATGTTGTGCGTACTTTATTTTGTCCATGATAAATTTGATAATAAATGTAACGGACTTGACTATTAAAGGATTTCGAATTGTTTTTGAAATTTTTGTAATCATTATTACAAAGTAGACTAAAATACCTTTCTTTTACCTCATTCATCATTATGCTATCTGCCAGGACTGGCGAGTTATTTACATAAAAATGAAAATGTTTGGCGTGCGTACTTTATTTTGTCCAGTACTGTATATTATCAGTGTTGGGTAGGAACTAGTTAAAACGTTAAAAGTTACAAGGTTGGTAACTTTTAACTTAGTTAATTTTAAATGCATTAAATTTTAACCTAACTAAGTTACTTTTAAATGTTAACTTTTAAACTTTTTTTTAAGTTAAAAATTTTTTTATCTTTTAAATGCCTTAGAAAAATAATAAAATATAATAAGACTAAGGGCGTATATTCGTAATTCCTTCATATTTTAAGATCATCTTAAGTAATTTCTTCAGATGCTAATACAGTCCTCTAATTGACTTATGCCTTATGCCATAAGCCTTAGTCCGGATCTACAATAGGTGTTTTAAGCCTTAAGTCATAAAAAATTGACGAATTACAGTCGAATGCGAGAATATTTGACTGTAATTGATCCATTTTTTATAGCTTAAGGCTTATTAAAAGTAAAAACCTAAAAAGTTACGTTATATCATATGTGAATAAAAAAATTAAAAATTTAATTTACTTAATAATCTATATTGTAATTGTTATTTAATCTCATTTTAAGAAAAATTAGGACATTTTGACCTCAAAAATAATTTTTTTCGAAACTAATTTTTTTTTTTAACTTAAGTTAATTCAATATTAACTTAACTGTATTAATTTTGTAAAGCCATTAACTTTAAGTTTCAGTTAAAAAAAACATTAACTTACCCAACCCTGATATATATACACCATGTGCAAGGGATATCTGTAATAAATATCCACTAGATATGACGTGAATGTCCAGTGGACATTGGCTTAGATATCCTATTGATGAGATCTCGAGTTGCGGACATTGCATATGTAGAGTATGTTTAATGTTTATTAGATGTTCATGGAAATCTAATACTAATCGAAGATATCGAATGGATATCTAATAATTATTATGTTTTGTATGGAGCAGCGTCCCATTTTAATTAAAGATCAATTAAAGTAGTCACTCCTTACACTTTTCTCATCTAAAAAAATTCTTTGGTGCTTTTCAAAAAATGTATAATCTTATTTAAAAAAATATATTCAAAAAACTGATAAATTCCTTGTACCAATCTAATATTTTAGGCAGCATGTTTCATTATTTGACAATTTTACATTACGCGGAAATATTTACAGTATTGTACACTTACATGTATAGTTGCAGTCAAAGTGTTAATTTAGTAAATGTATACATTTACTAGTCAATATATATACATACTAATTTGATAAGTAAATGTATTTACAAACAATGAAATTTACCTTTACTAGTAAATGCATATATTTTCACACATAATTTAGGAAAAGTATGCAGAACCAAAAATGCATCAATTTGAATTGAATACTTTTGCCAGCAAAAGTACTCATACACACCTAACTTCAGCATGCAGTGTGCATATCAACAGACATTTTACATTCAGTTGATATTTTTGTTAAAATCTTACGTATGATATTAAAAAAATGTATACAAGTGTATATATATTTACTAAATTTTACGCTTTGACTGTAATATATATAAAAAAAGCATAGGCTTTCGATATATGGTTATACTGTGTATCGTTCTGAAATCATCGGAATAATTAGACTTTTCATCTTCATCTGAAAATCCAAATATAATGATCTCGGGACGATCACGTAGAAGTTTAAAAGATATATCACAAAAGTATAAAGTATTCGTCCTTCAATAAGGCTATAACGCTAATATTATTCACGAAAATTGTCCATTCATCCATAAGCGCGCAATCTTTACGCACACACACATACCAACATGCGCGTTATATAATTAATCAGATAACTGTATTAATCATATCACGTCGCTTTTCGCCAAATCGAGTTCGTTCTTTCACGATATTTACTAGAAGATATACAGGGTGTGTAAAAAGTACCGGGACGACGAAATATCTCGAAAACTAAGCATTTTAGGAAAAAGTGTTTCAGGTAAAAGTTGTAGGGTTTCAAAAGATCTATTTACTGGCGCAATGAGTTTGACCTATGATGTAACCTTGACTGACCTTAGCGACGCCACCCAAGGTCAAACTTATTGCGCCAGTAATAGATCTTTTGAAATCCTACAACTTTTATCTGAAACACTTTTTCCTAAAATGTTTAATTTTCGAGATATTTCGCCGTCCCGGTACTTTTTATACATCCTGTATAATATCGACTCACAAGCCGTTGTACATATTATTCTCACACGTGAATACTCGAATCTCTGTGAAGATTACCGAGCTGAGCCTCAAATAAAATGTCATTCAACAATTTCTCAGCTATTATTCTTTGGTCCAGTCTCATATTCCTGAGCTTGGCGGCAACGTTGCGACCGATTGCATCGTACTCGTCCTCCATTATGAATGAATTATTATGCGATATTCTTAGGGATGGATCCGCCGATTCCGACTCGTCGGATCCCCGGATTAACGATGTGTCGTTCCAATCCGCATGTTGTTCGTAAGACTCGTTCTTTTCGGCCGTACATTCCTCCTGCTTGTGGATACATTAAATTAATTAGAATATAACAAAGAGAAAAAAACTGATGTAAAATCGAGATAGATAAGAGAAAGGCCAAACGCAATTAATTTAAACGTTTAAGAAATGTAAATGTATTATATGTGGTTAAAATAAATCTTAAATAATTTTCATCTATCATATATTTAAGTGTACCTTCAGATTCTACCCAAAATTATTAATCCTCTTTTCTAATATAGTAACTTATTATTTTTTAAATCTTTTTAGGAGACGGCAAGATCGAATTGAATTACATGGCAAAAATTAAATGCTTACCGTTTTACAGCGCTTCTTATTTTGTATCGCTGCACGCTTTCCCGGCACTATTTCGGAGCATTTATCAGGTAACGTCGAGTTGACATATATCGCGGGTTTCCTCTGACTAGATTTGCACCTTATTTTGGTCATCAAAGAGGGATGCAATCGCTGCAAAATAATCAAGACGAAAATAATCAAGATTTCTCTACCTAATAATAAATCGTAATTTATAATAGTAAAAGAAAGCCCAATGAGAGACTTTAAGCACAGTCACTGACTACATAATTAATCCTCTGCTGGCAATGTTGAAGTTTATTTTTTTATTGTAAATTCTAACAGACAAATTTAAATTTGTAAAACATAAATGAAGTATAATTAATTTCTGTGATAATAAAGACTTGTTTAAGAATTTTTTCAAATTTTTATACAGTTCAAACTATATAAAAAAAATCTGCACTGAAGTTCGAAGATTCAGTTAGTGGACAAAACGTGAAAGTATCTATATAAGCACACTGTCGACGAAGGATTAATTATACAATTGTAAGTACCGCCTCAAGTACCAAAATAATAAATAAAATTAAACAAGGAAACTGTTATAACCATTCGAAATTGATTTGATTGTTTTTGAAATATGTTAAGTACAAAAATTTAAGAAACACAATTTTTATATTTCTTCAATCTCAAATTTAAGGGATGAAACAATCCTTTAAAGTTAATGCTTATAGTCAATTATCAGCGAAACGGTGAGATGTACAGAAAAATGTTTTAAACAAAATATTTATGGTTTTTTAATATATTAAATAAGAAAACGTTGAGAAGGGCTATGAGCCAAAGAAACAACTTTAATAAATAACTTACATTAATAAACAAACATTTCGACTTTTATCGAATTATTATCAATGTTACATATATAAATATCGAAATGGTTCAACGCAATGACAAATTAACAGATTGTATGTGAAATTCAGTGGTAAAATTAGCTGACATTAAAAAGTTGAACGATTATTTGTAAGAGATTCGGCGACTAAACCAGATGACTTCATGATGTCAGTTCGAAGTATATAAATCCGCCAATTATTAAAGTTCTTCCCATTATATAAACATTATATAACTGGATTTTTAATAGCGCAGTGCAGTAGTCAAGTAAAAATTATGGAGAATACAATCAGTAATGTTAAAATATAGTATGATTAGTTTGAAGCGACATTGCGAAGAATATTATTATCATATAATTTACATAATATACATATATTTACATAATATATTTACATAATATTATTTACATAACATATAATTTATATAAGGATAAACTTGAAAAATTTTCCACTCAAAATGTAGTATGCAAAATAAACTGTAACAACCGCAAAACCTCGTATGTGTTGGACAGACGAAGAGACAACTTAAAACTCGCATTAAAGAACATAAAAGCAATATTAACGTAACCCATCGAGATATACAGTTATCACACAACACATAATAAATTATAATCATACTTTTAATTGAGAAATTTTAGACATCAAAAATAATTACAATAAAAGAATGATTTCAGAAATGCTGCATATTAAAGAACAAGATAAAGGCATAAATTCACAAAAAGATACAGAACGTCTCGATGAATCTTATTGTTATTTATTACGGTCTCTAACAACAGAAAAATAAAACCAATTTGGATATTGACTCTCTCTTGTTTGTCCCCGTGCCTGTTTTTTCATTTGAATTAGTGCGTTTGACTGAGCTGGAAGGATCTTGCGACGACTCTTCAGATTTAATTTAATGTAAGTCTTTGGTTTCCATTTACAAAATTATTCGTATACTAACATCATATTCTTTTTCTTTTACAAAGTTATTGACTCCGATTGTCATCTGATGTTCGCTTAATAACGAAAGTTCGATGACTAATCCATTTAGAAAACTGACAATTAATGCAACTATAGACAATTATATCGAGACCATCAATATATACAACATTCCCATTAATTTTACATATAAGGAGCTCAAGATTAGCACAAGTTTTACGTTATGACAATATTATAATAGCGTCCACACATTATTTATTGCATTTATGCCTATATCGACAATATTATATTAGCGACATGATTAATTATTAAGGTTTTTTGTTTTTTGCTGAAGAAGTTTCGTGGTCACGAAACGTATGATTTGATTTTACATAATAAATGTTTTAATTGTAATTAACTTATACATCTTAATTGGCTCAATCATTGACCTGATTTCTTTACGTCTTGCTATTGCTTAATACGAGCGAAATCTATACTTTTACTAATATTAATATTAGTTAAATGTATAAAGACAAATGATCATTTATACATTTGGCTAATATTAATATTCTTCGCAATGTCGCTTCAAACTAATCATACTATATTTTAACATTACTGATTGTATTCTCCATAATTTTTTACTTTTGACTACTGCACTGCACTATTAAGAATCCAGTTATATCATGTTTGGGAAGGACTTTAATAATTGGGGGATTTATATACTTCGAACTGACATCATGAAGTCATCTGGTTTAGTCGCCGAATCTCTAAATAATCGTTCAACTTTTTAATGTTAACTAAAGGCCTGTTCTTTTTGATTGAACTTTTGCACCAGTTCATCTTTCTTCCTTTTCTCTCTAGGAGAAAAAAAGAGGAAGAAAGATGAACTGGTGCAAAAGTTCAGCCAAAAAGAACAGGCCTTAATTTTCCCACTGAATTTCACATACAATCTGTTAATTTGTTATTGGATTGAATCATTCGATATTTATATATGTAACATTGATAATGACTCGATAAGAGTCAAAACGTTTGTTTATTAATATAAATTATTTATTAAAGTTGTTTACTTGGCTCGTAGCCCTTCTCAACGTTTTTATTATTTAATTTTAAATTTGAGCCATATTACATTATGTATTTTTTTATAAACTTGATAACTGTGTATTTAGATTTTTCAAAAATCTAATGTATTAAAAATGTCTCCATCTCATTAAGCTTTGAGAGGTTGTTTCACTTCTTAAATCTGAGATTGGACTCACATAAAAACACATCTCAAATTTTTGATTAACAACATATTTCAAGGAAAATCGAATCCAGACAGTAACACCTTTTGTAAGAAATAAAAGACACCAATAACCGGTGCTTAAGCTTTCACTGACCCCTCTCATCTTCATGATTTTACATCAAGAAGCTTCTTTATCATCCTGTCAATCTGCATAGACAGTTCTATCAAAGTATCTAATAATTTGATTACCTTTACATGACTGAGAAAATTCCCAGTGGACTTCAGATTGCCGTTGAGCAATTTCATACACTGCTGACAACGTACCGTAACGTTAGTGTCTTCCACCCTGATCACCTGGAAGTACTCTCCATCCAATAAAGCGGGCAATCGAACCGTATTTGCTTTCTGTTGGATATTCGACTCGATCTGCGTCACCTGATGCATCTGCTCCGTCTGTTGCTGTTGCAACGTCAACGTGTCATGATTCTCTCTACTCCGTACTTCTATCTCTTCCTTGGGCGCCTGATTGTTCACGGTTTGGACAATGTTACACTGATAATTTGCTGCGGTGACCATAGACTCGTCATATGCCTCGAACGTTTCCATTTTGTTCTTGTAGTCCTGTGAGAAACTTTCTATGACAACAGATTGTGTATCCAAGCCTCCGCTCTGCAAGGCAAACGGTGTATACAAACAAAGATCCTGTTCTGCCTGAATCTTGTACAGCTAGAATAAACTGGAAAAGAGTAAAATCTTACTGCGGACTTGACGCAACTTAAACGTCGCGGTGATATTATTTATCCTTTGAGTCTTATTGAATTTTAGATAAGCTGACCAGATAAGAATGTCGCACAGGGCAAATCTAGATCAGATAATAGATGAGAACGTGTGCGTTAGGTGATTAAGCATCGCGTAAATACCAACCTCGTCGATCAAGGCTACACCCGGTTACGTTCGTACATCACTAGGATGGGATGTTCAAGTAGGAAACTGTGAACGCTCCATATGTGTCTCTGTTGCCCATAAACATGTAAGCGAACGATAATTGCTTCCGATAATTTTTTAATCTTTCCTACTATCCGTGTGTGGTGGCTACACTGAAGTAAACAAAGCATTTCTTCAAGTATCAGTCCAGTTGTTACAGATCTGTTTACAATATAATAAATGAGTGGATTTAATATACAGTTATAAATAATTATCGTACCATTTTTTTATATTTCAATGATAAATCCGTAGAATCCAATGTTTCAATCCATGCGCATAACCAGTGAAATAATCCTGAAGGTTGATGCTTCATTCACGTTCTAAAATGTGAAAATCGCACAGGTCATTATTGGTTGATTTAATAAGCAAAGTTCTCGCTTAGTTAATTTATTTGTAGTTAAATAACTCACAACGAAGCGGTGGGAAAACTGGAAAATCGCCGTATACTTTTAACCTACATGTTACTACCAGTAAATCAACACGTTCTATTGGAGTTGGTTAGAGTTGGCGATACTGAGGAATGAAGATGTCAGCTTGTTTCTTGTTGATGGCTGGATAGGGATGTATGTCCAGGTTTATTCTTTTTAGTTAAACTTCTTGCATGGTTTACCTTTCCTTTTTCCTTTCACATTGAAGAAGAAAAAGTGAAACAATAAACTGTGTAAACAATCACGTTATTTTACATAGAATATACATATATTTCATAAAGCTTATTGATTTTATAGAAGAGAAAAAATAAAAATTTTGCAATGTAAAATCGATGTTCCGTCATATTTCAACTTGTCTTTTAAATAAAATGTCACTTGATTCGATTTTAATTATTAACTTTTATAGTTTTAAAGAATCGAAAAAAAAACGCAATTTTTCCAATTTTTCCGCGGATTTTTTCGGTTTTTTTCCCAAAGGTAGAAAAATTCATCTTGGAAAAATTCACGCGTTCTCGTAAAACCACGTTTGCTTCTCGGTTCTTTCCGTAAAGAAAATAATTGCGTATAGGATACACAGCGAGATAAGTTAACAGAAATTTTGAAATTCTATAAAAGATTGAGGTGACAATCATGGTGTAAGAAGAGAAGGTGAACCAACACCGGCGATGCGCAGAAACGCATCTTTTCAACCAATCAGAAAACTGCCCAAAATGTCAAAAGTCAAGATGGCTGCTTTCATGATGCGTGAATAGGTTAGGCCTTTCTGTCGACAGTTACCTTAACGAGCAGTCGTGAGCACGCAGAAAAAGTTTTTATTAAGCCCCAGTAAGCTATGAACATTAAATAAACATTTCGAAGTATTGATTTAATTCTTAAAAAAAATTAAATAATTTTACTTAAATAATTTTACTTAATAATTTTACTTTTTATTACATATTTTTATTTATTTCAAGGTAATATTATTTTCGTATTATATATTTATAAGTTTTAATTCTCTTTCAGCTTTTATCATATACTATATCAATTCAGTGTTTGAATTTCGTGCCGCATTTTGGGCAGAAATCTGATTGGCTGTCTTATTGCTTGGCAGCGCGTTGGTTCACCTTCTCTTCTTACACCATAGGCCTGTTCTTTTTGGTTGAACTTTTGCACCAGTTCATCTTTCTTCCTTTTCTCTCCAGGGTATCAATCATGAAACTTTATCCCTAGAATGGAATGTGAAAAGTGAAAATTTTAACCATTGAAGTTAATGGAGAAATTTTTCACTTTTCACTTTTTATCCTAGGAAAAACGTTTCATACCCTGGGATCGATACCCAGGAGGAAAGAAGAGGAAGAAAGATGAACTGGTGCAAAAGTTCAGCCAAAAAGAACAGGTCTATTATGTATTCAATAAAACATACAAAACATACACTATTGCACCATTAATGTAAGAATTAAAAATATAGAGTCCAAACATCATGTTTATATGATAATAGTAGGTCTAGAAAATAATTTGGATTTAAACTGAATTTGTAACAAAATATTAAAAAAAAAAACTATAAAGAGACACTTCAGGAGTTTATTAGACTGGAGTGTGGCAAACTAAAGTTAAAAATCTGTCTACTTAAATCATGTACTAAAGGAAGGTTAGATTAGGTTTTACTATAAAAATAGAAGGATGACTAAAAAATTTTAATAAGAATAATGCTACATAATTTCATAGATCGCATTAATTTTATAAAGGAATTTAAAAGTTACTTACTATGTCTTTTACACAGCAAAAACAGTAATTTTTCGGGAAAAAACCGAAATTTTCCGATTTTTTCCAATTTGAAAAAAGTGGCTTTTTTAAAATTATATTAACTCGAACACGAATAAATTCACTCATTCAATTTAAATAATAAACTTTTATTACAGCTATTTATGACAATTAAATAAATTGCGTTGTTTCATTAATAGGTCTATTATTAATTTTTTATAAAATTTTTAATAAATATTAAAAGGCTTACTATTTCTTGTTGACATTTTAATCCCTCTTTTTATGTGGATCTGGTGCCTTAAATTTCAGCAAGATGCGTACGCTACTGGACGTCACCTGATGCTCGCGCTGCAGCGCATGCGTGAAAAATCCCTCCGTTGGCGTCACTGCGACGCTTTTCGTGGCGTATTTTGCGGCATTTGCGGCCAACGTCGGTATGAGGTGAGGTTTGCTTGCGTTCCCGAATCTGGCATGTACAGTGATGAACCAGTAGCAGTCCTCACGTTTTGAATAGTCTGAACGACTTCCCACATTGTAACCCGCATCCTTTTACTCACAATTCGTATCGCCGCGCCGTCGACATGTCGGCACTTGCCGCGGAGAATAAAACGGAGTACGAGGAAAAGGAGCAGCACAAGAGGTATTTCTCGTCCTCGCGCTTCAACGCGATGTAGCGCTATATATAGCAGTAGTACATTTTCCTTTCATTCGAATTAAGTATTTCTGAATCCTTACAACATTAAATTTAATCGGCTCCCAATGTCTTCTTTGTTTTTTTTTTTTCCCCCAGAAATAAAATGCGACGTTCTGATTTTATAAAGTCATTGGCGAACGTATATCTATAGTTTTAAACTATAGTCTTATTTATAGACTTAAACTTTCACTTCAGGGTTTTATGAAAATATCAATTAATCACTTAATTTCATCATACAATGTAGAGTCAGTTTCATTTTGAATAATATTTTGGATAATGTAAAGCTAAAAGAACGAATTGTAACTTTCAGCGAGACAGAAACGTCCTCTGGCACTTCAGCGAAGTCAGAGACGAGTAAGGATACAAATGTAGAGAGCCCTCAAAGTAGGAAACACAAGCGGTCGCCAGATCGCGAACGACCGTCCAAAGTAGCAAAGCATGATGCTGAAGAAGATGCCTCATCTGCTGTACGTGTCTTAACCATATATTACTGCCTTGATTGCAAAAAGCAGTGTTTATTAGATCATATATTCAAGGAGTCTTAAATCATAGTTAAATCTGGTTATAGGTAGTCTTAAAAGTTCAGAGCCGATGCCAAAATCTGTTAATATAGTTACCGACACTGTGAAACCTATTTAATAGATGTTGAAAAGGCGCTAATTTCAAGAAAATATATAACATAAATTGTATAAAAATGAATGAATACTGTATTTATTTTAATACACAGAAAAATATCATTCTGTTGCAAAAAAAGTGATTACACCATTAATTTTTTTCTTTTAAATAACAGTTATTTTTAACTAAGAATACTTTTTGATAATTTCTTAAAATATACTTCAACAAATTCTAGAAAAATTTCTTGTTATGTACTCAAAACGTCTTGAGATTATACTGAAGATGATCTTAAATGTAAAATTGGACTATGAATACTACTAATTAGTGCTAATATATTTTCTGTTGCAGAGTACAAACGTTCCCTCAGATTTAACGACCGGAAGCAACGAAAAAAATAAGGATGCGACTGATGCAAACAGGAGCCTTGACAATACAGTTTTGGTAGCCGACCATTACAATGCGCTTGAGGAAAAGGGCCTCTCACAGAGAAATCAAAGTCGCATTGTATATATGAGGAATTTTAACAACTGGATTAAAAGCATGCTTATAAGTAAGTATTGATCTTTAGCTACTGTCTAAATGTTGTCACAACGTAATGAAAAAAGGACCAATAAGAGCCTATCTGTAATTGCATTATTTCAGATATATAATTCCAATTCTTTTTAATCATTGATTGTGGTACTAATTAGCAGTATTACAATTTAAACTGTTGAGCTCTTATTGTATTTTTTAAAAAGTATCGCAATATGTTACCAAGTTATTTTGGATTTTTCCTATTTATAATTTTAGATGTTCTTGTTTAATACAACGGAATTATAATAGCTTAAAATTTCTTATAACGTGTGTGAGGTAACAAAATTAGGAATCAAACCCGAATCTTTTGTTTGATAGATGATTACTATTAAGCTATCCAATACCTTAGAAATAATCATAATTATAAATATAATTATAAAGTTTGAAAGTAGAAATAAATATTTGGTTTAATTTGGGCTATTTTTAATGATTTGAGAAAAAATTGAATTTCGACTTAAAACTGGCTTATTATTGATCTTATTATTGTGTGTGTGATTTTATGTTAATTTTTTAATTGTATTTTTGAATAATCAGTTCTTGCAATGAATAAGTTTATCCTCATATTATTTATCAGATGAATACGTAGTCAAAGTAAGACAAGGCAAAAGTTTCGGCGCTTCGCTTAAAGTTCTGGACATGTGCTGTGGTAAGGGCGGAGACCTTCTCAAGTGGAAAAAGGCCAATATTTCACATTTAATTTGCGCGGATATAGCGCAAGTGTCGCTGGAACAGTGTCAACAACGGTACAATGACATGGTGAATAAGAAAGGTTCCAAAGACAGAGGTTTTGCTCCCATTTTCAGCGCGGAGTTTATAACAGCTGATTGTACAAAGGTGGAGGATACCTATTTCATTTTTAAATGCTACACAAAAATTCCATTTGCAAGAAACGCACTTGTCAATGGAATTTTGTTAATCAGGAATGTTGCAGGTCCGTTTGAGGGAAAAGTTCACGGATCCCAGCATGCAGTTGGACTTTGTTAGCTGCCAGTTCGCTTTTCACTACAGCTTCGAATCTCTATCACAAGCGGAATGCATGATTCGGAACGCTAGTGAGAGTCTCAAGCCCGGTGGCTACTTCATTGGAACCATTCCAGACGCTTACGATTTAGTGTGCGTTTCTCTTCCTCTTTTATTTTTTTATATTTCTCTCTAATAGATAATACGCACACACGCTTATCTTCTTTTTGGCAACGCAGTTCTAGGTGGCAAAATTGCGACGGTCATAAGTTCGGCAACGATGTGTACAATGTTGAATTTTTAAGCGAGGACAAAACTAAACCGCCGTTCTTTGGCGCAAAGTACAATTTTCATCTGGACGGTGTGGTTGATTGTCCGGAATTCCTGGTGCATCTGCCCACTTTGTGCAAGTTGGCTCTGAAATACGGTCTCGAATTAATATCGTTTGAAAGGTAAGAGAAAAAGTACATCGACTTAAATCTTTAATCGTTATTTTAGCAAATAATTATAAAAAGCTATTGCATGTATCATATTAATTTAATCCTAATTGATATTCGCAGGGCTAATGGACATTTTTTTCAACTACAGTGTGAAAAATTATTTATTACGAGTGTTTTTCATAATCTTAGATAATATTAAGTTATATGATCCTATTTCTCAGATTTTGACCTTTAAAATGAAAAAAAGATTATAAGCAAAAGTAAATTATGTTAATTTTAAGCAAAGGTACATTAATTAAAATACATTGGATCCGCGAATATCAGAAATAGATATTGATATTTGAAGACATTATTTTTTCTAGTTAAAATTATTATCTCGAAAAATTCTTTTTATATTCAGGTTCGAAGATTTCTACGAGCGTTTCAAAAACGAGGGCAGATCTCTTCTAGGAAATATGCAGGCACTAGAAACTTATCCGCCGTATCACGAAGCGCCTCTGCTCGGCGATCCAGAGCGAGACTATCATCATGCTGTCGAATATATGCAGAATCTACCGGCGAATCATCGTAAAATTGGCACTCTCTCGCAATCGGAATGGGAAGTTACTTGTGAGTACAAGAATTCTAACTAAAGATAAAGAAAATTTGAAAATATATATATGAAAAAAATATAAAAATTCTAAACAAATCCAATTTATTAAATGAATCTTTACAGCATTGTATGCAGTATTTTCGTTTCGAAAAATGAAGACGATTTGGAATAGCGAAGGAAAGCCAGAGTATATCAAATTATAAAGTTTCGTATAAAGAAAAACACGAAAACTGAAGCAAAGAACGATTTACTGATGCTGCTGATTTTATATTGTACAAACAATTTTATTTGTTACTGTAATGTAACTTATGGTAGGACGATATCATCCGTGTGATACCAGTAGGGCTATAGAGCTGCGTTTATAGAGCTGACAATCATGTAAAAACTGCTAAAAGAGCTTAACCCTTCAATGCCACTCTCAATATGGCGTATCAGACTTTTTTTTTTAAAAAGTGCTTTTTTGAAACTTCTATTTACTTTATTACTTATAGCTTTTTTTTTACTAATCAAGATACACCTGCTCTTGATACCATTGTATTTATTAATGCTTGGTGAAAAAAATTTGTTACAATATGTTTATAATTTTATAAAAGTTATAAGCAATCAAAGTTGAATTGAATGTTGCACCAATGACAACGTCACAGGTATAGTAAAACGTATAACATATAACATTGAAGGGTCAATCATTGGAAAACAATTTTTTTTCCGTCGTTACTGAAATTCTATTCTTTCAAGTCGCAAGAAATTTTTCAGTATAACATGAATGATTTAGATGTCAGGAACTATAAGATCCTGGATACAGGAATGTTAATTTCCTAATTGAGTGGATTATAGATAATCAGCTCGCAACACGGAAAATGAATCATGTATTTTAAATTAAGAATTATATATATATATATAATGGAAAATTATATAATTCTTAATTATACATATACAACTGTACATGATTAAGAATTTTGGAATATAATTATAATATCATAATTATTTATCTATTACATAATTATAATATTATAATTTTATACATTTACAATATATTTAAAAATAAAATTATGTACAATTATTGCTATAAATTATTATCACGCAAAAGAGAGAATGACGTATTATTTTTTAAAACGTAAATATTCTTTTAGCTTATATTTCACAAAAATAATTCCGCTGCGGAAAATCACTCTTTCGAATATATGAATAAAAAAAGGTCAACATTTTTCTCGCGCCGATGCTTCGAAAGTAGTGAATTGCAATTGATAAGAATCGAATGCATGGTGGAATTATTCATAAGACAATTTCACTATGAATCGAACGTATAGTTCTATACGACTTCGCAAAATTCGATCCAACGTGAAGTTAAACCAAACGAAAGAGTTGGTTACGTCGACTGACGTAACTCGACAAGGAATATCGTATAAACTTATTCTTTCAAAAAGTACGAAATAATTTCAAAATTATCGCGTTTCTTGCATCCTATAAGCGTTACGATTAGAATAATTTCTCCGTTTCACTCCGACGATATTGTAATTTACCTCAGAAATCTCTGGCGATTAATTCTCTTTGTAAGGGGATTTTTAAATTTCCTTTTCTTGGAAGAATTATTTTTCGCGAGAAGATCTTCCCCGCCACAAGAAAAAAGGAAAAAGAATCTGTTAATTGGAAAATGAATCGATCAACAATCTGTATATTCTGATTGAATTTCGTTTTGGAGAACATTTTGTCGCCGGTCTTCTTATGGCTACGAAATAAAATCCCAGGGTTGTGCGTAAAAAATAATAATCTACATCTCTATACAATGTAAACTATGTAAGCTACGTTTTACATGTAATCTGTGTAAACAATCTATAGATCAATGGATGCGTTCAGCAGAAAGCCACAGTTTTGCAACCGTTTTATGATTATCTGAGATAGGACCATTTCTCTAGACCTAAAAATGTAATCCAATCAACGCGAAGAAAATTTCCAACAGTTGCAAAATAAATGTTCTGCTGAATGCAGCCATTGAAACTTATGTTCTTTATCGTTGCACTGAACTAAAATTTTTATCTCATATATTTTTATTTATCAGTACTCAAGTCGTATATTAACAATCATGAAATTTAATTACTTCTTTTCGTACTGTTATTTAATTTATAATAATTTATATATTTTACATTGTTTGTATTATTTATAGGAAAAGAATTTAAACTGTAGCGTAGACTAAATTTTTTTTGTCATCTGTATAAGCAATCTATAGATCATCGAAGCTTATGTTCTTTATTGCAGTAAATTAAGCTTCCATCTCGCTTATGTATTTATTAAAATACTAAAGTCAGATATATTAATAATCATAACATTTAATTAGTTCTTTCTGTGTTATACAAATTATAATAATTTATAATTTACGTATTTTATATTGCATGTATTGTCCAATGAAAAAGATGTAAACTATATTTTGACTAATCATCAAAGCTTTGTTCTTTTTCTTCATTGCATTAGACTGCATAAAGTTCTCCTCTCACTTATGTATTTTTATTTATCATATTTTCTTATACGATATATCAACAATCATAAAATTTAATTCTTTCTGTTATATAATTTATAATAATTACATATTTTACATTGCTTGTACTGTCTGCATGAAACAGATGTAAATTATGTAAACCATAGGCATTGCGTATCGTTTGTGTAAATAATCCTATAAACCATCAAAGCTTTATTCTTTATTATTGCAGTAGACCGCACAGCTGCACTAAGCTTCCATCTCTCTTAAATATTTTTACCTATCAATACTAAAGTCAGGTGTATTAACAATCATAAAATTTACTTCTTTCTCTACTACTATTATCCAATTTATAACAATTTACATATTTTACATTGCTTGTACCGTCTACATGAAACAGATGCGTCTAAACTTGACGTGAACAATACGTAAAAGTTCCATGTAAACATAATCTCAAAATATACGGCACAACCCTGCAAAATCGTCTTCGCGCATCGAGTATTGAACTCGGCTGCGGAATCGTACCGGTTTCAATCGACCTCGCGCCGCGGTGAATGACACCCTCGGCTCGGTTCGGGGCGCATCGGATCGGATCGGGCCCGGCGATCGGCCGTCTGGCCGCTGCGCGTAGTACGAGGGGGGGCGGGGCGAGCGGGCGCATGCGCAGTAGCGCGTTTTTGGCACTTAGACTGGTTGCGCGGCGTCGCGACGCGCACACGGAACATAGTCGTTCGTCGGACGCGGAACGGGACGGGCGCGTTGCGGACGGCTTAGGGTAAAGTGTGCCGTCTCTCCATCTTTCTCTCTCTCTCTCCTATCTCTCTCCTCTCTCCCTACTTCCCATCTTTCTCACGGTCTCGGCGAATTCGCGAACACACTCGTCGGGAGGCTCACTGTGCGTGCGTAAGCGTACGTCGCGTCCCAGCCATCCGCTCTCGGAGCTACTTGTGTCTCACTTGGTCGACGGCGCAGCTGAACCACGGCAGTCCTCGCGCCGCAAGTCCATCGCTGGCCGCGCTGTGTACAGGTCTCTTGCGTCCGGGGAAATGGAGCTCGAGCAGGCGACGCCGCAAATGAACGCGGACCTGGTAAGAGGCCGCGATTCTGCGTCCACGTAGGCGCACGTTTTCGCGATAATCGCCCGTGGGAGCGCTCTCGCCTCTTGGTCCGTCTCTCGTCGTGCCCGACGCGAAAATTTTCTAAGTCCCAAAATGGCGTCTGCGACTAAGTCCTATCGTGGCGGACGGGCGAACCCCGAGGCGCGCGCGAGAGTGCTCCCCGTGGCTCCCCGGCTTTTCAACACCGTTGTCGACGGACGCGCGCGCCCGCGTTTGACCTTCCCCGTCGCGCTGAACGGTCGCTCGTCTGTTTCAGGAGAAGAAGACCAAGGAGAGCGGCGGCGGCGGCGACGGCGTCTCCGGGAATCATAGCGGTGAGTTCTTTTATTCGGACGCGTACGAGGTGAGCGTTGACCGAACGGAGGCGAATAGTTGAATTAAAATCGACCGGAGGACTCACGAGGATCACGGGGAAAGGGGGAATCGAACACGTGTCTCATCCCGTTCAGGGAAGAAGCGCCGGAAGGCGGGATTCCTGCTAGTGCGGAAGTCGCCCTTCCCGTATCTACTCAATTATGAATTAATTTTGCATCTTCTCGAAAGTTCGAGAGTTTTCCAGCGAGAACTCGAGGATGCTTTGAGAAAGTTTCTCCAGTCTTCGATCATTGGGTAGCGATGCTTGAAAAGAATAGTAGAGTTCCAAAACAAATGAATTATATATGATAGAGACTTTAAAAAATCGCGCGAATTTTTGATTGTTAATTTTTTATGGTAAAATTTATCCATTTTGGTAAAGAATCTCATTAAATGCGTGTTTATTAATTCTAATTAATTTTTAAAATATGTTTATGTCATTTTTTTTTGTCTATTTTTCTATTTTTATTTACATTAATTTTTTATTGTTCTTATTTCGTACTTGATTCTTAATTTTTCATATTTTGTTGATTATATTGTTTTCAGCGATTGAGAGGATCTAATTGTAGAATGCTTAACAAATAATAGTAATTAAAGCTCGATTCCATCAATATCAGATTAATTTCAATTTCCAGATTATGTTTAATTTATTCTTTATTTTCTTGTAACTCTACTGAAAGTCGAATGTGAGAAGAATAATCGACTGTGATTGGTCAATTTTTTACTTTTACTTCTTAAACCAAGCTTACTTCGCATATTGTAGACACTGCCTAAAAATTAAAGTCAAAGCACAGACCTTTGCATAATGCACAATGCGTAAAGCATAAAAAAATCAGAGTTTTTTGTTTCATGGTAATGAAGGAAATTGACTTTGATCGATTCATTTTTTTTATTAACTTTAATCTCAGTTTAATTTATTCCAAGTAGTAATTTGAATCGAGATTAAAGTTAATTTACATTGATAAAAACAGGTATAAAGGTATAAATCAGAGTATTCTTGGTACTTGAGATGATGTTTTCAACTTTGAATTTTATTCATAGTTTTATTCCTTATTTTGTTATTATATTTTAGGTACCATTAAATTAACATTTATTTTGTTTCATTATATTAAACTTTATATACCTCATAATTTTTAATAGACAGAATTATTTTGAAATTAATGATGAATTTCATGTGTTTACTGTAAACTTCAATTAGACATTTAAATTTCCTAGACCATATCAATGGCATGTCCAATGGTTTCGACAAGAAAAGGGAACACAAATCAGAACACAGAGACAAGGACAGAGAGCGATCTCACAAATCGGATCACAAAGACAAAGATCGGAGTAAAGACAAGGAGAGAAATCATAAAAGCGAACACAGGGATAAGGACAAGGACAAACACAGACATAGCTCCAGTTCTGTTAAGGACAAGGAGAAGCATGATGGTAGCAATAGTAAAGACAAGGATAGAAAGAGTTCGTCGTCTAATAAAGACAAGGAGCATAAGAGTAGCAGTTCATCCAGCAAGGATAAGGAAAAGGATAAAACCAGGGACAAGGAACATCATCACAAATCGAGCTCGAGCTCCAAAGATAAAGACAGGTAAATATAAAAGTTTCCCTTAAAATATTATCTAATGGTGTGATATTTATCTGATTACGATATATTTTTGCTAGGCATCACAGCAGTTCTAAGGACAAGGACAGCTCGAGCAAAGATAAAGACAAGGACTCGAAGAGCAAGGATAAAGATAGGCATAGACACAGTAGTTCCTTGAACTCTAGCTCGCGCGATAAAGATAAGGACCGCAGTATCTCGAAGGACAAGGATAGCAAGAAGCACTCGTCGGAAAAGGACAAGGACAGACATTCCACTTCTCACTCTTCGAGTGAGAAGCATCGTTCTTCAGAAAAAGATAAGGACAAGCACCGAGAAAGTTCATCCAGCAAAGATAAGCATCGTCATGATAAAGACAAAGATCGCCATCGCCATGATAAGGACAAATGTAAGCAGAAATATTTAAAATTATTTACATAAATATTTATTTTCCATTTTTAATCTTTCGTGATCAAATGCAGCCAAGCATCGCGAGGAAAAGGAGAAGAAGGATAAGGAGGAGATTAAAGTAAAGGAAGAACCGAACGTGAAGATGAATCACTCAAGTGAAGGATATTACAACATAGAAATCAAGCCTGAGATAAAGGAGGTAAGATTTCGTTTGCGGTTAACGTTTTGGGGAATAAATATAAAGCGAAATACTAATATGGATTCTTTCCTCAGGAACCCATGACGCAAGAATTTGATGATGATGACGACAGCGGTGGTGAGCGACCGCTTTATATCAAGGAGGACGATGATGAAGAACCGATTAAGGAGAATGCTAGTATGGATTCGACGGATGGAAATGACACCAGGCTGTCGGATCTCCACAATACGACCATAAAGACGGAAAATGACTCGGAAGAAGAGGTTAAACCATTGGTAAATTTTGTTTTTTGCAATTTTGTTTTTTATTTTCGATAATTATTTAATTTAGGCCTTTTTCATTAAATATATTGATACAGTCTTCGAGATCTAAGGTATCACCAAATGTGAAGAGAAAAATCGAGTCGGACGAAGATGAAGACGTTCCACTATCAGCGCGCAAAAAAGCCAAGAAAGCTACTAATCAGAAGACCAAGAAGAAGAAACGAAAACATGCGGATGATGATGATGATTACGATGCCGAGCCTGAAGATACACCGGTACTAAATTTTTCTTAACACTTCTTTCAAATTAATTTAAATATAGATCGTAGAACAGTATGTTTCGTACCGTGTTTGTCTTGTAGAAACCAAAGAAGAGGAACACAAAGGTGAAAACAGAAGGCGAAGGAAGCCCGAGGAAGAAGAAGCAAGAGGAGGAGCAGCAGGAAGTTTGGAAATGGTATGGACACTCAAAGTTTTCCGCTTAATTAATCATATATCAATGTGTTCTTCCTTAATTTTTACTTTAGTTATTTTTTTGTTACTTTAAATTAATTTTAATCACGATTTAAATTACATTTTCTAGTTTTAATGTCCGTTTTTACCAATATAGATTAATTTTAATCAGTTTAAATTATTCTTCACCTTTTTTTAATTCTTAGAACTAGAAAAAGATGAAGAGTTAAACCAAGATTAAAATTAAACTACATTGATAGAAATGGATATTAATGTAGGATTCACTCTGCTTTAACATCCAATAAGTAGATCTGATTCCTAGGGATAAAAGTACCATGATCGTAAGTCCCTAGGAAACACATTCTCCTATTAGAGAGAATATTTGTGAATTTTGTATAAGAATACATTCAGTAACCAATAGGAGTATTTATCTCCCAGAGATAAAAGTCCCTAAAAAATTGGATATAACATTTCTTCACATATGGTATTATAACCTATGTTTTTTCCTATGACTCTCGAATCTACCTTTATTTTCGAGTAAAAGATATGAATGATAGGTGAATGTAATGCAGAGCCTTGTGAGAAGCATAATAATTCAATTCTCAATGAGATGTTTAGTCAGTCTTGGAGGCCACCTCAATTATGTTATTTATAAAACAAAAACGGATCCGTCGATTTTGAGGTTAAGTTTTAGTCACATTGATTCAAATCCAATATGGAAATTTGATATTTTCTATTTTCTCCTACTTTCATAACGCTCCGTCTTGAGATTTAAATACAATTTCTTCATGTATTATTTAACAAAATTTAAGGATGAAAACTTGCCTTTATATTAATATAATTACAATATAATTAATAGTTCTATAATTATTATAAATTAATATTTAAGATAATATAATGTTAAATTTAGGTGGGAGGAAGAGAAGAAAAGCGATGGGACGAAATGGTATTTTTTGGAACACAAAGGACCAGTATTTGCGCCACCCTATGAACCCTTACCTCCTTCCATAAAGTTTTACTATAATGGCAAAGAGATGAAGCTGAGTGAGGAGACAGAGGAGGTTGCAACCTTTTATGCGCGGATGCTCGATCATGACTACACAACCAAGTCTGCTTTCAACAACAACTTTTTCCATGACTGGCGAGAGGTGATGACTGAGTCGGAGCGTGCCAAAATCACTGATCTGTTCAAATGCAATTTCAAGGAGATGCACGCGTACTTCGTGCAAAAGAGTGAAGAGCGCAAAGCCATGACTAAGGAGGAGAAGTTGAAGATCAAAGAGAAAAATGAGGAGATACAGAAAGAATATGGTTTCTGCAGTATTGACGGCCATAAGGAAAAGATCGGTAACTTCAAGATTGAGCCACCCGGATTGTTTAGAGGTCGCGGCGAACATCCCAAGATGGGCAAGTTGAAGAAGCGAGTGCTGCCGGAGGATGTGCTCATCAACTGTTCGAAGGATTCGAATATACCGAAACCCCCGGCCGGTCACAAGTGGAAGGAGGTGCGACATGATTCGAATGTAACATGGCTGGCTTCCTGGACGGAGAACATTCAGGGCCAGGTGAAGTATGTGATGCTGAATCCATCCAGCAAGCTCAAGGGCGAGAAAGATTGGCAGAAGTACGAGACGGCGCGGAAGCTGGCGAAGTCGATTGACAAAATTCGCGCGGAGTATCGAGACGACTGGAAAAGTAAGGAAATGCGTATCAGACAACGAGCTGTCGCTCTGTATTTCATTGACAGACTGGCGCTCAGAGCCGGTAATGAGAAGGATGAGGATCAGGCGGACACTGTAGGCTGTTGCTCATTACGAGTGGAGCATATCAAGCTGCATGAAGTGAGGGACGGCAAGGAATATGTCGTCGTGTTTGATTTCTTAGGTAATAATTGGATTATTGCAATTTTCATACATAATATGTATTTATAATTAATCCTTCCGTGCCGCATTACGGAAACGATACATTTAGGTAGGCCAATCTATTTTGATTGCTTATGACTTTCACGAAAATAAATATATTGCAAAGAATTTTTTTAATCAAAATGCTAGACGTTAACAGTACCACACAAATGTATGTAACTTTATTAATAAAAAGTTATAAGCAATGAAAAAAATATTGGAAAATCATCAGAAAAGGAAAGCTGGGTATTACAATGAAACCAAAGGATTAAAAAGCATTTTTTTTCTATTTCATAACATTATAATACAATTTAATTACGTGATTTCTATAGAATTAATTAATCCCGCAGGTAAAGATTCCATTCGATATTACAACGAGGTGCCAGTAGAGAAGCGCGTTTTTAAGAATCTGCAGCTCTTCATGGAAAATAAATCGCCTGGAGACGATTTGTTTGATCGTCTCAATACTACCGTGATGAATAAACATCTGAACGAGCTGATGGAAGGTCTAACCGCTAAAGTATTCAGAACTTACAACGCATCGTGGACGCTGCAGCAGCAGCTTGATAAGCTAACTGATCCGAACGAGACAGAGGCAGAGAAGATTCTCTCATACAATCGAGCCAATCGCGCCGTTGCCATATTGTGTAACCATCAGCGTTCAGTTCCGAAAACACACGCAAAATCCATGGAGAATCTAAAGGTGAAGATTGACACGAAGAAAGCAGTGATAGCCGAGTGTGAGCAGCAAGTAAAGGACGCTAAACGAGATGCGAAACACGGCTCAGTAAAGGAAAAAGTGTACGTTATCTTTTATTTACATTTTGCATACATAAAATAAATTTATAATGAAATTTTTAGATTAATAATAATTTATTTATAAAGTAAGGTATTTGATAATTTAAATTTAATTATTATGAATTTTGCACATTATGGGCACATAAAAACTTTATAATTTTAGTTTAAATGGTATTTATGTATATAAATGCTATTTTATACTCGATAAATTTAAATTCTTTGTCTAATTTAAAATTACTTCTTTTCTCTTTAACAGTTAAATAAGAAAACTGACTTTATACATAACTCATGTTTATATCGTTATTTGTTATATCATTATATGTTATATTAATTTATGCAGCTCGCGTGCATAAATTGATTGCTCTTAATGTTTTTATAGAACATATGAAAAAAAGAAGAAACAACTAGAGAGATTGAAGGATCAATTGACCAAGCTGGAAGTTCAGGCAACTGACCGAGAAGAGAATAAAGAGATTGCGCTGAGTACCTCCAAATTGAATTATCTTGATCCTAGAATTTCTGTTGCATGGTAAGTAGATTTAATATTTTTGTCTAATTTTTTTGTTTTTCATAAATTTTAATTTTATTATTTTATATTCTTCAGTTTTTTTAATTTCATATATTCACAATGTTTATTCTTGCATATTTTATTTACTATAGTTGACATTCTTTTTGCTAAGATACTATGATATCTTAAATAATTCCTTCCTGAAAAATAGACGGTTCAATTTCCCTCCAGAATTTCAATAATCGATACTAAGTGACTGTATGCCTTACTTTGTCCTACAATTTAGATTTCTTTTTCTGTATACTCCTCCTTTATACTCTTCTTTTATCGATATAGCAACGATGCTATACCTGCAGAAGTTTTTGGATTATGTCGAAATCACCGCTCGATAAAGATCGTCAATTTCCTCTCAGTCATTTTGCGCTTATATTTGAGATTTGAAAACATGTTACCAAATTAGACTTGCAAATGCTGTAAGATTTCTGAAGACTTGATAAACAGCTCTGCTCGAACCTGCACATTCAACTCTTTTCATGTTTTCTTTGTTACTATTCTATAATTACTGTGGCCTTCGGACCGCTCCAATTCTATAGCAAAGGAAACTCCCTACGAGAAATATGTGAATTCGGTACTCCGTTATTTCTTGGAAAGATAGAAAATTCTGGACAGAAGTTGAACCCCCCCCCCCAATCATGATTAGTATTTATTTCACGCACTATTCCTTTTTTCACATGTCTACAATTTTTTTTTTTTCAGGTGCAAAAAGCATAACGTCCCAATCGAGAAGATCTATAACAAGACTCAGAGGGATAAGTTCCGATGGGCAATAGACATGGCCGGTCCGGACTATGTGTTTTAACCCCGCGGATCGTCATCGTCATTATCATCGTCGTCAAGGCCAATGCATACCGGTCCATGAGAGGAGTGCATCTCCTGCTGACGATGTATCTAGTGAATTTTACGTTCTAACGAGCAGCCAGGAGACTTAAAGTAAGACAAAGAGAATGAAAAAAAAAGAAGAAAAAAAGAACAGTGTAAACAGTATGGAAAATTTTTTACACTTACGCGATAGAAATGTGAGAGTGTGGGAACATATTTTCTATAGGATGATGTGCATCGCGTGCGTATTAAACAATGCGATTGATATATTTAAAGTGATTAACTGAATGCAGTACGCGGATTCGACAAGCTTGTCTTAGACCGATCGTACGCGTTTTGCCATGGGTAAAATGCTTTCTATTTACATCGCTAGCTTGTTCGTCTACGTGCTGATTTGTACAAGGCACTCAGAAGTGATAATTTATAGGGATGATAATTGAAAGGATGGTTGCCGCACGAATTGCAGGTTATCTTCTGTGCGAGGGAGAAACATTTTTATTTCGTTTAGGTAGAAATTCATTCTGACTATGGCGTAAGAAACTAGCAAAAAATGAATTGCGGGGAAAAAAAAGACTTCACATTTGTGACGGCATACACGAGAGGCAGGGATTGAATTTTGCTAAAAGTATAAGGAATCGAACGGCCGACTTCGGCATGCGAGAAAGCTATAACTGCGCTATTGTATATATGTAGGACACATTCGTACGAGTGAGTTGCGGATATCGTTTCCGATTGTGTCGATATTAGAAAAGAAAAAAAGAGAAGGAAGAAGAGGAAGGGAAAGGAAGCGAAAGAAACCAATTCGGTGTAGGCAGCTGATGAATTTTGTATTTCCCTTTAACGAGCATAAACACGCATAATGCACTTGTTTCTCTCATAAATGTATGATAATGTCATTTCATCGAGTATCACGTTTACATTTTACAGCATCATGTCGAAGACATACATATATGTATTCGTAGAACGTATTCGATATTGTGCACTCCTCTTTTGATATATAAATGAAAGAAAAAGTGTAACTAGCAAATTTTCGCCAGATCGTGGTTCACCCTACCCAACCCCTCACCCCAACCCCTTCAAGAAACTCAATAGTATAAAGAAATGCCGAAATATATAAATATATATTTAAGTGAATTACATCGCTTTAGCGATTTATGTTTTATAAGATGATGTCTTTAGGCTATAAAAATAAACGACAAAATGTATCCTTTAATTTCTTAACGTTATTTGCACATCCGCGCGGACCTTGCTCGGTGCCGAGCGGAAGGGTTACTAGGCACACATACACGCGTGTATGTTATATATACATATATATATATTCTATATCTATATAATATGTAGGAGTGGGAAGTAACTTCCCGTTCATCGTAATATATTTTATGCAAAATATATATATATTAATCGCGCGGACCTTGCTCGGTGCCGAGCGGAAGGGTTACTAGGCACACATACACGCGTGTATGTTATATATACATATATATATATTCTATATCTATATAATATGTAGGAGTGGGAAGTAACTTCCCGTTCCTCGTAATATATTTCATGCAAAATATATATATATTAATATATTCTATATATTATATATATATATATCTAATAAATGTAAGTATATATAATTATATTCATGTACGAATTATATGTATTTATATGTATATATACATACACATATATTTTACTCATTTGACGATAAGCATTAAAACGTCAAGCTTTTCCATTTTCATGATCGAATCGCGAGACAATTCTGGCGCTTGTGCTTAAATAATACATAAGATACGTACGAACGTATTTATCTAGGAAAAATTTTATTCGTCATGACCCCTATCCTCTTGCTTTCGTTCTCCGCGAATTTTTTACATTACGAGGCTAAAGCGAGTGGAAATTGCCTTGTAAAAATTACAAAATTGGCGTCGGATTTACGGAGATCTGCAGGACCTGCGAGATTCTGTTCGGATAGAAAAAAATCTTAGTGACCGACCTACGTGATCTACATAATTGTATCTCATTGTGCGACGGCGTGTCTCGAAAATGAAGTAAAAAAAGTATCATTGTCTGTAATTCGCGCGCTATAACTAATTTTTAATCTTCGTCCCTTTAATTCGGATCCGCCTCGTGCTACGCCCATTTCATTGATGTGAATTAACTTCAACCTCGGTTTAACTTACTTTTTATCTGATTGTAAGAATCAGAAAATGATAAATAAATTAAATCGAGAGATTGAAGTTAATCTGCAAATTTTTTTTGTAAAAATGAACAGAAAGAGAGTGATAGCAATTATAAAAGTAAGAATTATACAAGTTCTAGAATTAATGTACATATAATCAAATACATTATTTTATAGTCATTGCAACTTATTCATTATGAATATTGATTTATTCAACTGTATATATATATATATATATATACACACACACACACACATTAATTCTACATATAAAACTTGTACAGTTGTCACCTTTAAAATTTGCTACCATCGTTTTCTCTGAGTGTAGACGAACCAGGCCGAATTCAACTCATCGCGATTCTTTCATAGGAAAAAAAAATCATTTCTGTTGAATTTGTACATACGACGAGGCGCTGCCCATTCTCGATCGGTCAAGGATACGTATTTAAGAATTCGACGCTTAATAGGAAAAACGCGAGTCGTACTCGGCTATCTATCGGTCGGGATGCAACGCGTTACTTATGTTACGTGCGCGAATCATATGCATAAGTACTACTAGTTAATTATAAGATACACACGTAGATATATACGCATATATTTATACGTAAGAGGGTACACGAGACGCTCCGGATTACGTTCCGGAGACGCAGATTTTTACGCCTTATCATTGAAAGAGAAAGACGTCCCCGACATCGGCGAATCTGTTCATCATTTATTTTTTTCTCGCGCGTACACGAAAAGAAAGATGTATTAATTAAAGCTTTGAGATCCGATCCACAATAGATGTAGCAAGCCTTCGGCCTTTCACTCCAAGCTAAACTGTAATGTTTTGTTTTATTTTATAAAAGCATGACTTTAAGTCTTAGTTCCTAAACTTTAAGCGAGCTGGCCAGATCGCAGCTGGAAAGTTTAGAAGCTTATTGTTAAAGCGAATTAATATCACAGCTCAGAGCAAAAGGCTCACTGCACTTATTACTGACCGGATCTAATTAGAACTAATCTTGTTAATCCAACATATCGTACTCTTGTTTTTAATGGAACAAATATTTGTATCATTAATCTTTAAGAGGGCCGTTGTGAAGTCTCGAAGTTAATGTCTATTAAGTTTTAAACATATATAATATTTTTTTCTTAGAGCGAAGTTTTCACAATTTAAGAGAAAAATTCCTACAGCCCTCTAATGATTAAGATTATTGTTGAATCAACGTCCTGATGAAAAAAATTCTCGTAATGTCCCACATTTTAAGAATTTTTCACGTTTTAAATTTGTAAAGATTTCTAAAAAAAAAACCTTATGCTTCTTCAAAGTTTTGTTAAGTTTTCTTTAGCTATCATAAAATGAGAAATTTTAGGATATTTCAGAAATTCATATATATAAAGAATTCTATAAAATATTTAAACTCTGAAAGATAAAGAATTTTTAAGAATTTATAAAATTATATATAGAAATTGTGAAAAATTCTTAAATTTACATAGAAATTCTGAAGAATTTGTGATGCATTTTTACCAGATTATTTCCAATTAAATCATGCTGTTAATACATCATTTTTTCGTGAACAAATCTCATAGTACATAAAAAAAATGGAAAAAATATCAGAAAAAATCTCTCGTTTTAATCCTCCCGTTATGTTTGCACACATCGCGTTGATTTTTGTAGAAGTAGCATTATCAGTTATCGAGTTAAACGAGAATTGTTATTTATTGTGTAATAGGCGTATATTGTTCACTCATACACACGCAATACACTGGATAACTAGCGACAGCAGGACTACGATATTATATTGATAATTGTGAAGGGAAGAATCAGTTGTATACACGCTCTATCTAGATCATAGCCGAGATTGATTTTAGACTGGACTACGAAGTATTGATAATACGATAATGTGTACGTTTTCACGAGTAAAAAAAAAAGATACGATAGGCCGCTCGTAATCACTCGCAATACGAATAATAGCAATGTAAATGAATCGTGTAACGAGAAAGGGGAAGAAAAAAAAAGGGAGAAAAGAAAACGCAATCTCGGCGAGCGCGGGCCTTTGGCGAGCACTGCTAAGATTTTTAACTTTTACAAGGAGAGACTCGAGTAGGAGTGCAATTGATATCTAGTACAATTTTCTGAGCCCGCGTGATCGGCGGGAGATACATAATGTGTATGTTTCAGTGATTATCTCACTTTTCGATATATATTATTATTATTATTGGAATAATAAAAAGTTAGTGCCAGATCGACGCAGTCGACTTCATTATTATGCATCCAGTTTTCGTGTACAGGATATTCCCTCTCCATTATATCCGAGAGGGCAAAGAAAAGACAATTACTAACGTGATACGTGTTTCTGACTTTGCTGATTTATTATTATAAACGACAAAGTACAATAATATATTATAGTACTATTATATATTACTGCGCAGTTAGTTAGAAATGATAAAAATAAATTATATATATATATATACAATTATATATAAAAAATGAATTTATATATAATTATATATTAAAGAAAATTTATAATTTATATATCAATTATAAATTGTACTTAAACGTAATTATTAATACATAAATACATTTATTTATGTATAATTGCTTATATATACGCAATATTTAATCTCTCAAAGTAAATAGAGTGTAAATCCGTAATAAATATTAAATTGTGTAAAAACTTAAAAACGAACGTAAGTGTCCTGAACAGTGTGCAGTTCTACGACGCGCGAAGAAAGTCACGTGGGTAACCGAAAATTTATTAGACATTAACAATATCGTAGGGAGAAAATTGGCTATATTTTTGGATCTTCCGGCAGTATCGAAATCTTTCGTCTGATAAATCATACATTAGGCAAGCGTATTGAATTTCTCAATTTCTGAATCAAAACTTCAGTCACCGCGAGAAGAGGATCCCGACGATTTTCAACGTTACAAAGATGAAAATCTTAAATCCGTTAAAATAGAAGATAAAATTCCGTATGCAAAGAATTCTTTGACAACAATCTCGCTTATACAATTTTGCGATTATCTCACGTTTTATCAAAATGAGGCACTCTCATGCTATACAGTAAAATAGTAAAGCAAGAAAACTATCGGCTACAATCTCCTCACGATATATATATGTATATATATATATATATACTGCACATAGCACACGAACGCTTTCGTTTAGCGTATATAAAATATAAACTCTCGAAAAAATTTAATTCCCTTTCCTCCGTTTTTTAATTTTTTGGTTATTGCGTCACAGCAGAGTAAATACCAAAAGAATGGTAATTCCTACGTTGAAATAGGTAGACTAGACTATGCTAAATCACGATTTCACTTCCTGCCGCGTAACACGGTTCGTTACACGGCGAGATTGAAATCTCTGGATTTGGGAGACGCCCTCCGAATCGCT